AACTTAATTGAATTTACTTTTGGCCTGTTTTTTGCTCTTCATTTTTATGTAAATCTCTATGAGAACAATTTTTTTCTCATCACTGTGTTATTGTGCTAAGTGTAATATCCCAAATTTTATGGATTTGAGTAAAGCATGATGAAGGAGAAAATTTTTAGAGAAATTGTTGAGATTAAGACCCTTAAAATATGGTCTGAATAATTAAAAAGTTAATTTCAGGAATTTAGGACCTATTTTCTTGGAAAATTTGAGAAAAAATAGTTAGAGGATAATTTTTGAGCTGAGATTTTTAGGATAATTATTTTATAGACTAAAGAAGCTAATGGAAGAAGAAACTTCATATAGATATCCAGGTGTGATTTCTGGAATTATTTGATTATCCAAAAAAAAAATGTAGAGAAGGATCAAATTGAAGGGAAAATGAAGACCAAAGGGCAAAATGGTCATTTCACATCCCTCATCCATCTAATATTCCCTAACACCTCCTCCCTTCTCATTTTGCTCTGCTATTCGAAGGGAAAACAGAGAGAGAGTTGAGAGACTTCGAGAGAGATCAAGAAGAGCAAAGGCAATCGGAGGAGGGAATCGATTTATACCAAAGTGGAAATCAAACAAGGTGAGTCTCCTGAATCTTCTTTCATCTTTGTTTTCTGTTAATTGGTCATGTATTGCAAGACGATAATAAAGATGACATCTGGTTTTTGAGGGAGAAACTGAAGAGCATGACAGCCAAGCTGTAGAAACCGTGCTTAATGGTTAGGATGACGTTTGTGGTTGAGATTTCTGCACTTGTTTTTTTTTCGGTTGATTGCTCTGGTTAAAGTTTCTGAAATAGAGGTTCGAGGATTTAAGGAAATGGCTTCTGGTTTGGGTAATAGATGATTAACGAGTCTAAATATAATTAATTATTTTCTGGTTGTATGATTATAATATGTTGATTTTATATGCTCTGTGTGGTTATTGAGGGATCGAAGAGTGTCTGCTTTGAATAAGGAAAATTCCAGACTTAATGATGGAAGGACGCTGCTCGATTTTGCTGGTCAAGAAACATTTGAATGCTAAACGCATGAGCTATAAATATATATATAGATATATAGAACAAAGCCTTTTGAGACCGGAGCATTGGGAGAAAGAATTGGGCTCTTTATATATATTCTTTTGGTTTTGGCTCCATGTTCTGAATTATAGTGAACAGATTTTCTTGGAGTTAAAATGGAAAAGTAATGCCAAAATCTAGAATTTTCATAAGCGGAGGAAATTGTTGAGATTGGGAACTAATTAAAGCATGACATGTGTGTATATTGTTGGTGTTTATCTCAACAACGTTGATGTTATGATTTGAGGGATGAAACTAAATCCCATGGTATTAATTACGTATACCTGATTAATAGGGCAATCTGGAATTTTTGAAGGAATGGTGTAGAGGGTGAATATATATATATATATATTGCTTAAAATGCATTTTATTTTGAAGTGAAGATATATTGTATATCTATTTTGGTATGTAAATATTCCTCCATAAGGAGATGGCTAAGGGTAGATAAATCATGGTAACTGCTATTGAAGGAAATGATCAATATTTTGATATATAGTTATTATTTTGTCTAAAATTATGTGTATCTATATGTGTAACTCGTTGTACAAGCCTATGGCTAGATTCTACTGGCTATAATTGATTTGATATGGGATCCAAAAGGTGGATAGAAAAAGAATGGGTTCGATGGTTGAATATGAACCATGAGTTTTTAACCGTTTTTACCATTTTTGTAAAAGGGTTAAAGTGGGTACTCGAACAACTAGACAGTTTACTTGAAAGTGAATTTTGAAAGGTTTAAAACTTTTCAGAAAATCCCATTCTTTGAACAGGATCAGACTTTGTATTTGGGAACTAAAATAAAATAAAAAATTGTCTTCCCAAGGATTGGAACCTGGCTTTTAATGATTCGAGATTAAATAGAATAACTATATTGGTGTATAAAGGATAGTCGTGACACTAAGCACAAGTCCAAAATGAGAGCTCAATTCCAAAAGACTAGCCTATTAAGAAGAAGAGCTTTTAAACTTATAAACCTCACAATATTTGTTAGATTCCCCAACAGGACTTATAACAAAGCACCCTTCTCGAGAGCCGATATCCTGGGCGGCTCCACTTTACGGCACTTTCAACACTTGTAAGATTCCCCATGTGAGACTCATAACAATTACTTGTCATAATCCATGCACTTATGGTGCCAACACCTTCAAAAGGCAAAAATTAAAGTGATTATAAAGAATGTTTAAGATAATTAGGAAATAATAAGGTTTACGACGTAATTAATTACATACAGCTAATTACGTTAATTTTTTGCCGACAGTTAATTACGTTAATACCCTATTAGTAGTTTTTACAATAATAAAATTTTTATATTATTATTCTAAGTTGTGCGTCATTAAATGATTACTTTCAATGAGGGCATATATACCGTGCATATACATATATGTTGAGTTTGTACGAGTCCAAACAGGAGAATATAATCATTGTCCATTTCTTCTTCCCTGAATTATATACTCCCTTCCATTTTTAATATAAGCATTACTTAATTAATTTGAGAAAATTAAAAAAATAAAATAAATTAGTTAATTATAACATATGTAATTTGATATCCTAACATAACTCATGCATAACATTAGATTATATATTAGTTTATACGTTATGTAAATTATAGTTTGGAGAAAATAAATAAAAATGGGAGATAAATAGATTGAGATAATATATATTTAGGACCAAATTCAATCTCTAACTAACTTTTATATTAGCAACTGGACAGAGTATTAAATGCCTTAAAAAATGTCTCAAACAATACAAAAACGTAGGGAAAACGTCTATAGATATACAATGTGGGAAGAGTTTGTGATACGGATTTTGTTTTCGGTTTTGTTCTGGTGTTTAGTTGATTAATGCAAGCTTTCAGATTTTCAGTAAAAAAAAAACAAGAAGAGTTTGTGAAATGTGAGAGCCAGCTGCAAAAGAAGTAGCAAGCCATTGCCACCACAGATTCACATGGAGCAAGCAACAACTGGTAATCGCAATTAGTGTTTTGTTTCTTTGGATGAAATATGTATTTTAATTTCTCAAACTACTAGAGGTGGTGATTACAGTGAAGAGGAGAGAGGTAGAAGATTTATTAGATACGGTTACTGTGCTTAAAAAATGTAATATAATTACAACTTCTTTTTTGACCAGCAATATAATTACATCTTCAAATTACATCACAGTAACAATATACTCTTCTGATCCTATTTATAAGGCACTTCCAACATATTTCATACAGACTAAGAAAAATCTTAAACTTCATTAACTCTCATTTAAAACTTAGTAACTTTCTAACTTTATCTCTATTTAATATACATTATACTTCATTTAAACAAAGTCAACATAGTAATAAATGAGGGGTAAATTTGTACATCGATACAAAAAATTTCTCTCAGTGCCCTATAAATAGAACAAAAAATTATTTTCTCTCTCTATTCTATAAATAGGACTGGAGGAGTATATATCAACCTAGTATTAAAAAAAATTAAACTCAACTGTTTTTAATCAGTTTTTATTAATACACTCCTCTGGTCCTATTTATAAGATACTTTCAGCATATTTTACACAGACTAAAAAAACCTTAAAATATATTAACTCTCTATTAAAATATTACAGTTTTCCAACTTTACCCATATTTAATATATACACCGTTCAAAAAAGATAACTACTTACACTATAATAAATGAAGGACAAAATAGTACATTTACGCTGAAAATTTAATAAAGTAACTTATAAATAAAACAAAAAAAACCTTCTCTCTGCTCGACCAGAGGAGTATTATTTTTATCTTATAAAACAAAATCTTTCCCAGCTCCCAATCACCACCCAATATTTATCATTAACTTAATATAATATTCATTTAAAATTTGAATCTTTAAGGTAAAATGTTAGTCCACCTCCTGCCTACCCATACCCCAGTCACGTGTTGTTTGACAAATACTCTGACCAACATTAAATTCCTCTCACACTGCTTCAATTCGCATGCTCTAAGCCTCACTCAGCTTTTTGGTTTCTCACTGTATCTTTTCCTTCGGTCTCGTCAACTTCATCTTCTTTGTTTCTTACTTTCCTTGGCCGTTAGCTTCCTCGTCTTCTTTGTTTTGGATTCAACGTAGATTTTCTAACAAAGAAAAACACACAAAACGACAGACGGACAAGCTGATACAGGAGAAGCTGGAGCAAGACGAGGCGACAAACCCTCATCGATCTACAAGCTTTCAGGATTTTTAATGGTGGAATGATGTATTATTTGTTTAGATGTGGGGCACCCTGGGATTAATTGGTAGCTACAATTTCAATTTTCAAAGGCGCAGCTATTTGTATTATTACATAGAGTATCATCACCACCACGGATCTGCAGAAACAGCTTTAATTGAGTTATGGAAGGGAGGCGCAATTTTAACGACATAGTTGCAGAGCCACTGACGGAAGACAGCAGTGAAGATTGTTTCGAATGGGTTAAGAACTATCTGATATCTGACGATCTTTGGGAAGTGACGAATAGTAGCGCAAGACCAGACGAAAATCAGGTGGAAGATTTTGCTAAATGGAGAAGAAACAATGCTGCAGCATTGCACTTCATCCGTATCTCTTGTGGGCATCCCAATCACTCGCATATAAGAGGGGTCTCTGAAGCCAAAGTTGCATGGGATACTCTCTATTATACCTACTATACTACTGCGCCATGCCCTTCTCCCCCAGATCAGTGCCCTATATAATTCTCTCATTGCCCTCCTAGTGGACAGATCATATTTATATGATTCCTCAGCATTTAATTAATTTAGTGGTGATTACATACAGTGTTGACGGAGGCAGAAGAATTAGGGATAAGTATTCTGTACAAGGCCATAGCTCAGAACAAGTGGTCGGCCGCAAAGGCATCCATTGATCCCATCCTGAGGTATTGGACGTAGATTTTGCTACGTCAATGGGCGAAACACCTCTTCATGCGGCTGCAAAGTTTGGGCATCTGGGCATAGCAGAGGAGTTTCTGAGATTAGTTCCACAAAAATATCTCGAGATACGCGATGCTTATTATAACAATACTCCGCTTGCAATAGCTGTTTCACATAGTGAACTCATCCCGGTTGCAGCATGCTTGATCAACAAAAATAAAAAGGCACTTGCAATTCCAAGTGAAGATTGGCAGATTCCTGTTACCATGGCTTTTGATTCTGGCCATAAGGAAATGGGACGTTATCTTTATTCTGTCACTCCTCTGGAAGTCTTCAAACCAAAAAACCGCACTGTGGGGCCTGCTTTTCTCGCTAACTGTTTGTCAATTGGAGAATTTGGTAGCATAACTTCTATATATATAATTTTATACACAAAGCATAGTAATATATGTGTTTCATTTTCATTTTTTTCTTTGTCTGTTTATACATGTCGTCATTATTTTTCCATTCCATCTCATACTCTATGATTTTGATACATAAACAGATATTGCCTTGCATTTGCTCCAACGATGCACGGAGCTGCTTTTTGCTACTGACTTGGACGAGGAACCAACAATTCAGAATATTGCACGCTATCTTCCTAATACTCTGAAGAAAAGTCAACTTCCATTCTGGAAGCGATGGCCCTATCACTGTTGGTGCATATTTCCACTCTCTGTTTTTCCCTACAATTTCCTTAATGTTGTTTGCTCATTTTAATTATACACTAGCCGAAGTGGTGAATTACAATGATAAGGATTAAGTATGGGCCGGATTAGAGAATAAGGGAAGTCCACTATGTACAGAACATGTTGGAAAGTGTAAATTCTAACAGTAAGTTTGCTACCATAAATAATGAGTCTTAGAGTTTTAGGTATAGTTTTGTGAGAACTCTAAATCCATAATTATGTGTTTCGGAATGCGAGTTCTTTGACAGAAAATTAGAAGACTCCCCCCTTGCTTCTCTCTTCCAAGCCTATTCTTTAATTTAGTTAATTTTCACTCAGTGCTTTTGTCCTTTTGCAAGATGATTGCTTCAAAATTTTCCAAAAGCTATCAATCTGCTTAATCACTTGCAGTGGACAACAACTCTACACACACACACACATATTTACAATTAATGTTGTATTCTGATAATTCATTGTTATTGTCAGCATAATAACAGTATTTATGACTACACTACATCCAATAATAAAATAAGATATCTTCTAAAAGTTTTTCATGGTCCATTATAAGTCTCTTTGAAAATGTGGTGAAACTTTTATGACGTATTTCCAAACATAATGTTGGCAAAAAAAATTTCCCAAAAATACTATTTATGTAATTAACACTATCAATTTATTGGAAAATATTATCTCTGACTTTATGTTTCATAGAAAACAATCCCCTGACTTAATTAGGAGGTGGCGGCAATTAATTAATACTATTAATGTAATTTACTTGTACTTCTAGTAATTTATTGCATTATTATTTGAAGAAGCTTATGTTTTCTTTGATCACTTCTGGGTGGAAGATATGAAAATACCATCAACCGCAACGACTGGGCATTTCTGCGTAGGTATTCAGCAAGAAGGCGAAAGCAACAAAGCCGGTCAAGGTACAGAATTCTCTATCACTTTAGGAGATGAAATCAAATAATATTATATACCTATTATTATAGAACACAGATTATACAATGTAAAGTTTCTTCATTTTATTCGTTTTACGTGAATTCAAGTACACCAAAATCCATGTCAAACAAGGCTAGGTCTGCTCCATTCACTTATCTCCAGCATCTATAATTTTTCAGGTATATAAGTATGGCAAAAAGTCCTCCAGAACTTAAATTGGATGCCTGTAATATTTTAGTTGTATTTGATTTACCAATGGTGCAGGAATGAGGGAAATATACAAGATGAAGGTGCAGCATGCACAAGCAGCTGAAATTCTAAATCTAGTTTGTGAAGATATGATATATTTGAATAAAGTAAAGAAGAATATGGTTGGAAAAGCAATGATTGCTGCAGCTAAAGCAGAGAATGTTGAGTTTTGTTTGCGAGTAACGAAGGCAAACCCAGAATTAATCACGCTAGTCACTTTTGGCTACCCAGACTTGCCCTTTTTCTTCGATGCTGTTAAATATCGTAGATCTGAGATTTTCAATCTCCTCCATGGTTTTCGCTTTAAGAATGTGGCGGTGACATTAGTTGATCATGAGAACTTAGATAACTTGCTGCATGTGGCAGCCATGTTATCTCCTTCTTCCTACCTTAACTGCATCCCCGGGACCGCATTGTAGATACAAAGAGAAATGCAATGGTTCAAGGTTAGTTATTAGAATTGAAATTTAATGCTCTTTTGCTTCAATACTTTGTGTCTTTTATAGATTTCTTATTGTGTATTTATTTTCTGTAAACATGGGCCGTCAAGAGTGTGATGGATCCTGGAGATAGGCTATTTCCAAACAAGAAAGTGCTCATCCCTCTAGAATTTTTCAAAGAAAACCAGAAAGAGCTGAGGGCTGAAGGAGGAAAATGGATGAAGAAAACAGCGTCTTCTTGCTCAGTTGTTGGGGCTCTAATTGTTACCATCATGTTTGCCATAGCTTTAATAGTTTCTGGAGGGAACGACGAGAATTCAGGATACCCACTGTTTAAGAAGGAGAAGTTATTTAAATCTCTCTTAATTTCATATGCACTTTCCTTGTTTCCGTCCACTACTTCTATGCTCACATTTCAGGAATCCTTACGTCACGCTGCAGAAGAAGACTTTCTTTACTCGTTAGTAAGAAAATTGATACTCCTCCGGTCCTTATTATAAGACCCAATTTGACTTTTTATTTGGTCCTAATTATAAGACCCAATCCATTTTCTCTCTATATTTATGCATTTTTTTCCAAGATAATCCTTCTAATAATGATAGTTTTAGCCAATATACTTAATTAGCAAGGATATTTTAGGAATAACAACACTTATTTATTATAAATAACCAACTTAACTTACTTCCTTAATCTCTTCAATAAGTCAATTGGGTCTTATAATTAGGACCGGAGGAGTAATAGGTTGTCTACACTTTTTTGCCTATCGCAACTATGATGATTTCCTTTTCAGCAACCATAATGATCATGTTGCAATATAACTCATCACGTTTATGGGTTACTCTTCCTGTTATTGTCCTTGCTGGTGTTCCAATAATCTTCTTTGTATTATTACAATTCCCTCTTCTTGTTGAAGTAACTTTTTCTACTTATGGTCAAGGCATCTTCAAGAAGGTAGAGAAGTGGCCATGAACTGTGCATGTAATTAATTCACATCTTACCATAATATGTATTATTTTCTGGAGGATGAAATTTGTGTGTCCTTCACATCTTATTACTTTATGTATTTTTTGTTGAATAAGAAATTTCCGATCCCCTTGAATCTTATCATGTAAATAAAGAACCTGGTTTTATTTTTAGCCTAATTGTATCATCAAGCTTTGCACATCTAGAACACAAACATTGATAATATTGTGACGGGTTAATACAAACTTTGGTCCTTCAAGTTTTTTCTGCAACACCTAACTTTCTATATACTAATAGGATCAGTATAATACTATGAATCACTAATGCCAGGTTTTTGACTTCGTAAAAGAGAGGGAATTTTTTTTCCCCTTCAACATTAGAATCCATCGATCAAATATTTCACAAGTGATCCATAATCAATCCTGCTTTCAACTTAATCTATTATCACCTAGAATGATTTCATACTATGCAATCTCATAATAGTATATTAAAAATATAGCAACCATCTAGGTCGACGGCACTTGCCTATGCCTGGCAGTGCTCTCCTAAGTTACTTGCCCATATAACATATATAATAGTATAAATATTAAATTATCCAAATATTCTACAACTATGTACAGAATATAGCAGGCATCCCTGCTCTTCAACCAGCTCACATTCTTCTTAAACAACCTCCATATCCTTCGAGCTACTAGCCTTTGTTGTTCATCATAAATGGGAGGGTGAGATTCTAAAGAATCCCCATAGTAGTAATTTCCATCAAACAAATGTGCAGATTATACAAAGTATGCAAAACAAGCCAAAGTGAAACATAATCTTCCAAGCTAATGCAATTAAGTATTTATATGCATTGATAGATAGACAAGCTGAATAAATAATGCGTAAATAATTGGTAGATACTGCCCCATGTCTATCAGTTACACGTGATCACGGCTAAATAATCCATGCAAGGAATTAAGGATTACATGTTCTCATGCTTTAAACAGCAATATGGCACAAACAGACATGCAGCAATCAGACATAAGTGTGAGGTAGGAAAGAACTACTACCTGATCCGCTTCCCTCCAAATCAAACCTTATCGTTCTCCTTTCTTTATGCTTCTTGGTGAGCTTGAGCAGATATAAAAACTTGTCATATTAGGAAGGATAGATTAACTCTTAATCTAAATACAGTTTACAAATTAAACTACTTTCTTTGAATTCCCAATTTCTTTAAATTCTACCCTTACTTAGTAGTTGGTCATCATAGACAACTTTTCTTATTCAAACTACTTTCATTGGAAAATTTCCTTCCTTATCTTAACCTATATAATTACTTTACTTAGTAACTGGTCATTTTAGTCAAAAATATTATACATATATAATCGTACCAATTGATTTTGCTTCATTTTTCTAAAATAATTCTATAAGCTCTGCTAGCTTTTATTAACAATTAACATAATACTTATTTAAATCCAAGCTAAGCAATTTCAATTTCCAACCATCTATCAATCTTCTTAATCTTTGGTCCAACATTCCTCCAGCAACCTTTCTAATCAGTTGTCAATTTTTAACCCATACCTCAATCATTGACTGTATACTATTGAGTCCCAAATGTATACCATAAAATAATTTCCAAACACCATAACAATTAATCCATTTACAATGTCCATTCACCATTTGGAACCTCAAACAAACCTCAATAATAAATTTCAAATCAATTCCTAGCTTGATTCCTTTCATCCCCAAAACAGCCGCCAAGTTTAGTTCTAAGTTCGATCATTAAATAAATTCATCTCCTTCATGTTGAAACAGTCGCTGGCTGAACAGGGGAGAGGAAATAGAAACTTGGCTCCCAATTTCATTCCATCCATTCATCAGTTAGGCATGTCTAGGTGCTTTAGTATATATGATTCTTCAATTCCATATAATTCTAAAATATTATATAGCATCATAACAGTGCGTTTCTCTTCAATTTCAGCCTCCAAAATTACAAACCTTAATATGTGATTATGTTAATCTGCATACAAGTCCATATATCATCTAGACCATACAAAATTTTTGCAGCATTTGAACACTTAAAACGTTTTCAGAAACTTTGTGCAGCTTTATTCTTTGTTCTGGAAATCTTTCCAGATTTAAAATCATGTGTCCCAATTTAAATTTTGCAGCACTCATCTTGATATTTTATACCAACACTATATAATATATAACCATTAACTTCTAGGTGCCTTTAACCAACTTTTAAAATTCCTAGCTTCAATAAGAGCATCTGAGTCCTCATTTTAATATCTTTGAGCATGGTTTAGTCACACCAAATAATCATTTAGTATTTAGAACCTGAACATTAAGCTTCACACAGTTTACTATCCAACTCTCTTCCATTTCTTAACTTTTAATTCCAAAGAACCCGAAATCAAACAATCCCTCGGCCTACTCTTCAAATCTGGAAATTCCAGATCTTTACAATGATTCCAACATTTGAGGAATCAATTTCTAACACATAGGGGCGGCAACTACACCTAGAAACCGAGCATATACACACATGGATATATATATATATATATATATCTCATATTTATAAATAATGGTCCTTTCATTTCATTTAAAATTCCAGCTTTTATCTTTCAAAATATTGCAAACAGAAAACATTTATGGTCCCGAAATTTCAGTTCAAGAAACAAGATTTGGACCTTCGTTTTCAGATCTCTAACTTGGTTTAATTAGCTTGAACAATCACTTGGTCTAAGAGAACATCAATCAACAATTTTAGTAAAGTTTCAGATTCCATACTCTTATACACATGTATATAAATATATCCCCCAAGTTAGAACACTTTCCCAACAGTCACGGCTGGCAAGAAAGGGAAGAGCAAACTGCATTTCACTTTATATAAATAAGCATTCTCACATCCTTCTCCTAACTCTCAAAGAACCCAACAATGTTCAGCCCAAAACAACAAGATTTTAGTTCGAAGGTCATCATAAAGCGGAACCAACACCCAAACTAGATGCCACTTTCCTGAACCTTTAACCCCTGTTTCGGTCTTGGAAAACAGAGGGAGAAAATCCACATGCAACCAGATTTATCAACATGCAACACTTAAACTCACTTACACAAGCTTTAATCTACTTGTTCCGACCATTATTTCATTTGGTTTCCCCATTTCTTGATAACCCAAAATTTCATCTTCCCTCAACTCTTCAATCACGCAGAGAATGGAGAAATGAAGAGTAGGAGAGTGGTCAAGAGACTCGCCTTAACCGAAAATCACTCTTGCATGTAACTTCACCACCTCCTATCACCTCTCCGGCCAAGCTCTTCCTCCGTCTTCTCTCACTCTTTCTCTCGCGTATTCCTCTTTGAATGGCAGCAGAAATGAGGATGGGAGGCGAATTCAGAAGATTAACAAGGGAGGCAGCACGGGTATAAGAAAAATTCCTGTACCCTTTTGCCCCTCTATCACATTTATACTTCCAATTTTATGCTTCTCCGATTTTCTAAACGTAAAATATATCCAGAATTTATAATATGGAGTTATATTATCTATTAGCTTCTTTGACCCATAAAATAACTTCTTTAAAAATTTCAGGTCAAAGTCAACTCCTAACTATTTTTCTTGAATTTTTTTAAGAAAATAGCTCTTAATACCTCTAAGTATTTTTCTTAGAATTTTCTAAGAAAATAACCCATTTCATTATGAAAATAGCTTTAAAATTATTTAAGCTGTTTTTTGGGGAATAAACTTTTCCAAAATATTTCTAAGCCCTCAAAATCAATATTCCATAATTTTTCCAATTTTATTTAGGCATTAAATAATTTTAATGAATTTCTTTTTCTTCTCTTCCCGAGTCAAAATTTGGGGTGTTAAATTTTCTTAGTTTGGTTTTGGTCCTTCAAGTTTCAAACCATAAGTTTTGATCCATGAAGTTTCTTTTCATTTAAAACATTGATCCATATAATTCAATAAAGATTTAGACCATTTTGCTCCATGAGAAATCAAAACCTATTATTTGAAACTTAAAGAACCAAAAAAAAAAAACAAGTGCAACATTAAACGGCCAAAAATCATCTTAAGCCTATTGTGACTATGGCAAGAAACATATCTGGGCCTATTATCGTTTGAATGCAAATGAAGTTGAACAATTTAAATTTCAATTAATAAAAAGTTCAATTGTATTCATGAGCATAATAAGAAATTTCAGTTAAGCAAAAAGTTATGGTAGAGATTTTTTGAATTCAAATTTAACAGATTAAAATCATTAATATAATGAGATATAAAATTTTATATTCTTTATTAAAATGTTCAATTAACCAATATCACAAAAATCACTCCCATTTCTTGGTTGTGAGAGAGAGAGAGAGAGAGAGAGAGAGAGAGAGTATCCCGTCAAATTAAAGCTCACAAATCAAGCCGATGATCATTCCTTTCAAGATACCGTAGACGATACCAACAAAATTTTAAATAGACTTTGGACTGTTTTCATTAGTTTTGTACATAGAGAATGTACTAGGTAAGGTCTTGAAATTATTTATACTTTTTTTAATCTTTGATCATCTTTTGCTTCTTATTTAAAAGGGACAAATAATGAAAGATGGTTAGGTTTTCTCCCCCTTGTTTGATCCTTGTATTTTTTTTTTTTTTTATCTTCCTTTGTGAACCAAGTTTCAGTTTTATTTTTTAACAAAAAAAAAAAAGAAAAGTCCACCAAATCTCCAAAATGACGTTAATCCTGAAACAGTAGGATCGTGGGTATACACAATGGTCATTGTGAACGCGAAGTATAGTACATCAAGTGGTTGAGTTTCTTCATTGCTGAAAGATAATTCGTCATGAACAATAATATGTGTGTGTGTGTAAAACAGAGTTGCAAAAGAAGGCTAAGCCACGCCGAGTCGTGTGTCAGAATTTTGGGGCTAACTTGTTTAATATAGACGTGTGAAGAGTTTGTGAAGTGCGAGAGAGTAGCAGAAGAGAAGTAACAAGCCATTGCCACCTGAGATTCTGGCCGATGTGTGAATCATGGAAGCAAGCAACAACTAGTAGCCACGTTTAATCTTTGGATGAAATTAATATGTTTTAATTTCTCAAAAAGCGATTAGTTGACATTGCAAGAATTGGTGATTACAATGACGAGAAGGAGAGAGGTAGAAGATTTAGAGATGGGTATTCTGTACAAGTATATATCATGGCAGAGAGATACTTAGTGTATTATTTGTTTAGACATAGGGGTAACCAGTTTATTGAAATGCACACAGTTTATTTTTGAATTATTTTAATTATGATTATGTTACCTCATATCTGAAACAGAGGCATGATTAATGCTTACTTTACATTGTGGATTATTACACCGTCATCATATCATGGGAACCAGCTTATATTTATTCGGAGCATTCGACGGAAGTCATTTTTATTTGTTGTTGTTGTTTCGTGTCTATTAGAAGGCTCACAAACCCAGAAGACAGAAAGGAAAGAATGAATTGCAAAAGAAAGCTGAGCCATTGACATATAGCTGCGAAGTTTCCGTCGAAGGAGGGAAGGTGCATATATAGAACCAATTCACTTGGTAAGTTGTGTATATGATGGATCTCTGATCTGTTCCTTTAAATTTTTCAAAGAAAGAGGGTCATGAAATTTTAATAATCCATCAGGGGTGTATGTGGAAACATTCTTTAATTATTCCTAGAACTAACTTTATAAAGCGTCTTATAATAATTATTCCTAGAACTAACTTTATACTTCGTGTCGCATACTTCATTAACGAAAAAGGAGACTATTTAACAAGAGACTTACCTACACAGGTTTACTCAAAATATGGTCTTTTGAACTTTGGTGCAAAAATTACTAAAACATAAGATTGTGTCGCGTCAAGCATTCCCCATTTCATAAACACGTTTGTCTTTTATTTCCATTCCTTGCTTCTTGTCTGCGTCAGATCTATTCCATTCAATTTAGAGGATCTTAAAAAGCATATGGCGCCTTCGTTCCTTCAAGTAGTAGTTAAGTAGCTTTTACATTAAAAACTTAATGAAATAGTATTAAATATTTTAAATTAAACGATATGAACAAGCATGTAAGAAATAACACGACAATGGCTATAAATATATTCCTCCGGTCCTAAATATAAGTTCCTTTTTACAGTGTAATTTACACTAAGAAAGGGGTCTTATATTGGAGATCGGAAGAGTATAATGTTACAACTTTCGATCCTTAATATAAGACCTAGTTGACTAATTTTAGGAGATTAAGGGAATTAGTTAAGTTAGTTATTTGTTATAAATAGATAGATGTTGTCTTTTCTAAAATGCCCTTGCTAATTATATATATTAGCTAGAATTACCATTTGATGAAACATTTAACATGTGCAACTACTATAAGGACTACTTTGAAAAAAATGAGTAAACATGAAAAACAAAATAGTTTGGGGTCTTATATTTGGAACCAAATTAAAAATCAAACACGCTTTTATAATAAGAAACGGAGGCAGTGACAAATTTACTCACAATATGGTCCTTTGTTCGTAAGTGGTGATTACAGAGTCAACAAGAGACTTATCTTACACAAACTTACTCCTAGTCTAGAGATGAGGTGAACAACGTTAGGAGCTCATTATTGAATCTCCAGTAGGCCCTTTTCAAGCTTCATGTGTTTTTACGCATAGTATGTTTTCTTAATTATTTAATAACGAATTATTTCAGCAAATTCCAATAAAAATAATGAGGTTCATGTGCTGAGTCCTCAACAGATTAGACTTCAATTTGATTCCCACCCCTAACCCGCCGTAACTTGTCATCTGGTGGGCTGCCAGCCCCTACACTTGAACGAGGTATAAGGCTCGAGTCTAGCCTTAACATATTTATGTGCATATATTTTGATTATTTATAATAAAACAAAAAGATTATTAAAAATAAGAAATTGAAATAATTAGAAAAATATCCACTGTGTTTCCTATTACCTTTTACACAATTTTCTATCACCATTTGAAAAAATAAACAAATTAAATAAAAATTCAAATAAGGTGAAAAGGCAGCACAATCTTTCATTGACGTACTTATGTTAATGAAGAAGCATTATTTATTAAAAAACTTTGTAGCAATGACAAAATTAAAACCGGCAAAAACTGTTGGCTTTAATTTTACCTAACTATTTCAGGTTATTAGAGGGGGGAAATAAATTTTGAACTTTCTTAAAACAGTGAAAGATTTGTTTTATATATGAGGTGAAACAACAATTATGTGTAGTTGTTTTTAAATATCAGAAGCATGATTGAATCAACACAGATAAAATGAAATAAAATTAAAAAAATTAATTTGTATCAAATATAATATCAGTATAATATGAATATCTGATACATTAACTTTTTATTGAATAAAAACTGAAAATAAAGTGAAATTACCAATAATTTTTTTGATTATATGGAAAACACATAACAAAAATTTCTTAAAATATAGAGATTATTACTATCCTCAATTTTTAATTATTTATAGTATTATTCAAAAACAAAAGTGATTATGCAGAATGTTTAATATAGTTTGAGGAATAACAAGATTTTTTTTAACGTAATTACATACATTGATACCCTTTCGGATAAAAAAATTACGTTAAAACCTATTAATTAATCGTTGAAATAATAAAAGGTTTATGCTATTTTAAGTTATGCCTAATTAAAAATAATTGTGCTGAACAAGGGCATATATTCAGTTTAATTTGCACAAATCCAAACAGGCACAAACAGTCAAACGTGATGCATAAGTTTAGGACTTTGGTGCAAAAATTACTAAAAACAAGATTTGCGTAACAAGATGGGGAAATTTCTACAAAAGCAACTTCCAAATTACTGAATCTCAAATAAAAAATTCTTTTAAAAAATGTGTTATTATTTAGTAGTGAAAAACCTATGGGTTAAGATGCATCCAGCATTCCAAAGTATTTTTTCGGATGCATCCAATACCCTAAAAGACACCATGAAGTATTTTTTTAGGTGCGTTGAGCACCGTGAAGTTTTTTGTATGCATCCAACATCTCAAAGTTTTTTTTAGATGTGTCCAGCACCCAAAAATATTTTTTGGTACATCTAGCACTAAGGGAAAAATTACTCCAAGGTGCTAGATACACATAAAAATTACTTCAGGAAGCTGGATGCACTACAAATACTCCAGGTGTTGGATACACCTGAGAAAATACTTCAAGGTACCGAATGCATTTTAACCCAAAAACTATTAATTTATAGGAAACAATTTTGATTTGAGATTTAGTAATTTTTATGTTCCTTGTGTGAGTTTTCTCTAGAAGATCTGCCGCTTTTTAGTGAATTGATAATCTTCAATTCAAATCCAAGTCGTTTGCTTCACCAACGTTCCAGATTGTGCCAGGTCCGCGTTTAAACCATGAGAAATAATGCGACAATGGCTACAGATATACAATGCATCAGGAGCAAGTGAACTGTGAGGCATCTGCAAAAGAAGATACTACATGGTACTTAAGTCAATTAAGTTGTTCCCCTACAGCACTATCGTTTTTAATGTGTACGTGCTTTTTTAAAGAAAAAGTCAAGTTTGTTTTCTTTTTCTTTTTCTTTTTCTTTTCCTTGTTGGTAACATATCACGATCTTTTTTCTTGATCCCCTATCATTTATTGAACACCTTAAACCATACGAACACGGAAGGAATAAACGAAAAGGCTATAAATATATAGAATGTGTGAAGAGCAGTGAAGTGTGAGAGCGAGCTGAAAAAGAAGTAACAAGCCACTGCCATCACAAATTCACGTGGAGGAAGAAAGAAGTAAGCGCAATTAATCTTTGTTTATTTCGTTGAAATGTGTATTTTAATTTCACCTGAAAGAATTGATGATTACATACAGTAACGAGGGGAGAGAAGTACAAGATTTAGATATGAAGGATGGCGTTAAGGCTATATTACTAAAAACCTCCGTCGTTTCTTCTTTATGTGCAGAAGAAAATTAAAGTACTCCTCCGGTCCTTATTATAAGACCCAATTTGACTTTTTATTTGGTCCTAATTATAAGACCCAATCCATTTTCTCTCTTATATTTATACATTTTTTTCAAAGATAATTCTTCTAATAATGATAGTTTTAGCCAATATACTTAATTAGCAAGGATATTTAGGAATAACAATACTTATTTATTATAAATAACCAACTTAACTTACTTCCTTAATCTCCTCAAATAAGTCAATTGGGTCTTATAATTAGGACCGGAGGAGTATTATTATTAGGCAACACCTGAGCCAATTCCTATCTGAACTTCGATAGCAACACTGGGTGCTAACTCATTGCATTCACTCCTTCTCATTTGATTTACCTATGTCCTTCCTCTTAATTATGCATTCGAATACATATTTTAAATTTTTAATGCGTATGTGCTGGTTGTTGATTCCAGTGATGGAGGCAGACGAATTAGAGATGGCTAATTTGAACAAGGCCATATATGAGGACAACTGGTTCGAAGCAAAAGCATTCATTGATCGCCATCCTAAGTTATTGGACGTAGATTTTGGAGCTTCAAGAGGCGAAACACCTCTTCATACAGCGGCAAAGTTCGGGCATGTGGCCATAGTAGAAGAGTTGATGAAATTAGTTGAACCAGAATATCTTGAAATATGGGATTATTATGGCTATACTCCACTTGCAACAACTGCCACACATACGGAATCCATCCCAATTGCAAAATGCATGATAAAGAAAAATAGCAATGCACTTGCAATTCCAGCTCCATGGCCTTGGCTGATTCCTGTTTCCTTGGCTTTTCTGTCTGGCCACAACAAATTGGGACGTTATCTCTATTCTGTCACTCCTTTGGAAGTCTTCAAACCAGAAAACGGCTCTTTTGTGGGCCCTGAGTTTCTCCGAACCTGTTTGAGAAATGGAGAATATGGTAACGTCATTTTTAGATGTATAATTTCATTCGCAATAAAGCGCAATTTATGTTTCATTTTCATTTTTTCCCTCTCATCTCCTTATACTAAATGATTTTGTTACATGAATAGGTATTGCCTTGCAATTGCTCCAACAATGCACGGAGCTGCTTTTTGCTCAAGACGCGGATGAGAACTCAACAATTGCGAATATTGCACTCTCTCTTCCTCATTCTCTTCATAAAAGTCAACTTCCGTTCTTGAAGCGATGGGCCTATCACTGTTAGTATACATATTATTACTTTCCACTCTCCGTTCTCCCTGCAATTTTCTATATATGTCGTTTGCTCTTTTAAAGTACTGGCTAGCCATAATGGCAAATTATGATGATGACGGTAAAGATGGTGAAGATGAAACAACCTCTGGTATAATTTAGTTTACACACACTTATTCCCAATCCGTTTCGATCACCCTTCCCCTCTTACTCCTACCTTCCTAATTAAATAAATATAGCCTTTTGAAAGACACTCAACCCACAATATAAGTCACTTGATGGATCATTAATGAATTTTTTTCCAAATAGGTATTACCCTTCCCTATTACAATTTATTAGAAGAGGAGTTGAAGTATCGTATAGTGTTTCTCTGTGCTCTTAAATATGTGCAGAGTTGCAAAAAGCATTTCATTTTTAAATTTGACAAGTGAACCATTTTTCTCGTTCTGGTGAGGTAGTACTCCCTTTGATTCTTATTATAAGACATTTTCAACTAATTCTTACATACTAATTAATGACAGTTAAAGTATTAAATTTCTCTTAAATTAATAATTTTTTTCAAGTTTCCTTCCAGTTTAGATTAAATAAGGTTGGAAAAAAAATTCCAAAAATACTATTTATGTAATTAACCCTCAATTAATTGGAAGATATCATCTTTGACTTCAAGTTTCATAGAAAACAAGAGGCGGCGGTAATTAATTAATACTATTTATGTAATTTACTTGTGCTTCTAGCTTTTTTCTGCATTATTATTTGAAGAAGCTTATGTTTTCCCATTTCTTTGATCACTTTTGGGTGGAAGTTATTAAAATACCATCAACCACAACCACTGGGCATTTCTGCGTAGATATTCAGCAAGAAGGCGAGGGCAGCAGAGCTGGTCAAGGTACAATATCCTCTACTATCACTTCAGGAGATGAAATCAAATAATATTATATAACTATTATTACACAACATAGTAGATTACAATTTGTAATGTTTTTCATTTAATTTAGCACCCATAAAATCAGGTATGCCAAAATATGAAATTTGAAATTAAAAATTATTTTTTATTATAAGCTCGATTTTTGAATATATGTCTCAGCCTTAATTTACGCACCGGTTACTCAATGTTAGCATTTAATTAAGTTGCACTTAGCTTTGACTAGAAAAATGCACGTCAACAGGGACAGGTCTACGCCATTGGCTACTCTCCAGCGTATATAATTTGTCAGGTATGTATATATTTGTGCGCGCGCCAAAAAGTTGCCCAGAACTTAAATCGAATGCCTTTAATATTCTAGTTCTATTTTGATCGACTAACAATGGTGCAGGAATGAAGGAAATATATAAGATGAAGCTCCAGCATGCACAAGCAGCTGAAATTCTAAACCTACTTTGTCCGAATATTCTGATGCTTCTGAATGTAGAAAAGAGGAATATGATTAGAATAGCACTGAATTGTGCAGCTCAGCAGGACAATGCTGAGTTTGTTTTGCGAGTAACGAAGGCAAACCCGGAGTTAATCGCACTTGTTACTTCCGTTTGTCTAAACTATCCCGTTTTCGTCATTACCGCTGTTGAATATCGTAAAGCTGCGGTTTTCAGCCTCTTCCTTTGTCGTCACTTCCAGATTATGGCAGCAGCAACACCGGCAAAAATGAGAGCAGCAAGAGAGACAGGAAATAACTTGCTACATTTGGCAGCCTCGTTAGCTCCTGATTCCTACCTTAACAGCATCTCCGGTGCCGCACTGCAGATGCAAAGAGAACTGCAATGGTTCAAGGTTAGAACTGAAATTTAATCCTTTTCTGTGCATGCCAGAGGCAGAAGAAAATGAATCATATTAACACATGCACACATGTCCGGTTTGTTTTCCTTGCCAATAATTAAGATTCATTATTATATGGTGCAATTTAATGAATGAAATTGACCAAAGAAGGAGATGTTCCCTTTAAGGATTAATTTTTTTTAATTCATAGACACATCTGATGAGACTTGCTGATTGTGAACTAGCTAGAAAAGTGAAGTGATTTTATATCATTAGATAATTCCTTGTATAATTTAAGAATAATAATGGGTTAGCTTATATAGAACAAAATAATTGTTTTAATATACAATTAATCAATTCTAGCTATTTTGTTACTTTGAGTCTTTTATTTATTGCTCATTTATTTATTTATTTTCTATATACATAGGCTGTCGAGAGTGTAGTGGATGCCGGATACAGGCTACATCAAAACAAGGAGGGGCTGATTCCTATAGAATATTTCAAAAAAAACCACAAAGGGCTAAGGGCTGAAGGAGAAAAATGGATGAAGGACACAGCATCTTCTTGTTCAGTTGTTGGGACTCTAATTGTTACTATCATGTTTACCGCAGCTTTAACAGTTCCCGGGGGGAACAATCAGGATTCAGGGTACCCAATGTTTATCAAGGAGAAGTTATTTAAAGTTTTCTTGATTTCAGATGCACTTTCTTTGTTTTCATCCACTACTTCTGTGCTCGTATTTTTAGGAATCCTCACCTCACGCTATGCAGAAGAAGACTTCCTTTGCTCGCTACCTACAAAATTGATAACAGGTCTTTCTACATTGTTTTTGTCTATTGCAACTATGATGATTTCCTTTTCAGCAACAATAATGATCATGTTGCAATATAATTCACTACGTTTATGGGTTACTCTTCCTATTACTATGCTGGCTGGTGTTCCAGTAACCCTCTTTATATTATTACAATTCCCTCTTCTTGTTAAAGTGTTTTCTTCTACTTATGGTCCAAGCATCTTCAAGAAGAAGGTGGAAGAGTGGTCATGAACTGTGCATGTAATTAATTCAAATCTTACCATATATGTATGATTTCCTATTTAATAAAGATTTTCCTCCTCTTGAATCTTAATCGTGTAATAACCCAATTGCTTATATATTTAACCTATGTTGGAGGTGTGTATCAACCTTTGCATGTTTAGAACATAAATATATATTGATGTGGTTATGCCAAATTAATTAGATTAATTAGCTAATTGTGGATGAATTTTTTTTTGGTAGGCACAGGTATTCTCCTATTAAATGTAATTCTGTTTGAAATACTATCGGGTACTAATTATGAGTAGCTTTTTTAGTTGAGATTCGAGCTTTGGTTCATCATGTTATGAGAAACTAGCCCCTTTCGCTTTGCAGATGAATTATTTATTTTTAATGGGAACAAATATAAAATGGGTTGTATGCTTGGTGATTCAATTACGGGTGGCCCAAACCAAAGTCATCACATGGGCCTAATACATGTGATTGGCCCATGGTACTTTATAATAATTATGATTAAGAATAATCTTAAAGAATGATAGAAGTCCTTTCAAAAATTTAACTAGTCAACCCACGGTCTTGTTGACTGTTCTAGGCCCTAACTTGTTTTTAATATCTGGGTTCTGATTCACTAATATTTATGCAAGTACGTACTTCACATCTTATTACATCACGTATTTTCTATTGAATAAGAAATTTCAGATCCCCTTGAATCTTATCATGCAAATAAAACACCTGGTTTTATTTTTAGCCTAATTAATGCGTTTGCATATCATCACGCTTTGCATATCTAGAGCATAAACATTGATAATGTTGCGACTATAGCGGGCCTGTTATAGTTTGAATCAAGATAAAGTTGAACAATTTAAATTTAAATTAATAAAAATTTCTTACCAAAAAAATAAGTTAATAAAAAGTTTAAGCAAAAAAGTTATGGTTGAGATTTTTAGGACTGGAGGAGTATTATTGATGATACCAACAGATTTTTTTAAATAGATTTTAGACTATTTTCATTAGTTTTGTATATAGAGAAAGTAAATAGCACTGCTAAGTTTCTTTATTGCTGAATGATAATTCATCATGAACATGAATTTTGACTATATCGCAATTGAAGTCGTAGCACAACATCGGAAACTCCTCTTCCATGATCGCCTTATGATGTAACAAATTAAATACCTCATTAACATAAAAATGACTAGTCAATTATGATTTTTTTTATTATGAACAAAAAGCTAAGCTTGATTGCAGATGATGATCAAGTCCTTGTCGCGGTAGCTATTCATCCAAGAGATTTATCTACACGTGAATTGAATTTCAAATGCATTTAAACTTTTCAAAGAAGGAGGGTCATGAAATTTTAATACTACATCTGGTTTTTAATATAAAAGCTTGTTTGATTTTTATTTTATTCTAAGTATAAGACCCATTCATTTTGTTTCTCATACTTTTTTTTTTAGATAGTCCATGTAATAATGATAATTCTAGTTAATACACTTGACCGCATCTCCCGTGCCGCATTATATTTAGGACTAAAATAAATTCAAACGAGCTCTTGTATTAAAGATTGGAGGTGGTATCAAACGGCGAGATTCTTAGGCCCACAAGAGATGGGAATGATATGCAATGCCGCAGCATTCTTTCTTCTCCATCTGCCAAAATCTTCCACATCATTTTCGTCTGGTCCTGCGATACTATTCATCACTTCCCAAAGATCTTGAGATATTAGATAGTTCTGAACCCATTCAAACCAATCTTTTCTGCTGTTCTTGGCGAGTAGCTCTGCAACTATGTCGTTAAAATTACGCCTCCTTTCCATAGCTCAATTGAAGCTGTTGTTGCTGATCGATGGTGATGATACTGTGTGTAATATCGCCGCCGCTTTGAAGGTTGAAATTGCAGCTACCAATTAATGGGCAATATTTCTTGATAACTACACATATTTTCTGTTGAAAAGAACGGAGATCAATCATACACATTACTTACCAGTTGAACATGGAAATATATATATATATATATATATATATATATGCAGCTTCCCTTCTCTGACGGAAATTTGATATGTTAATGGCTCAGCCTTCTTACGTTCCTTTCTGTCTTCTGGGCTTTTGTAAAGTAAGCCCTAATCTTTGACCAAAATGAAAAAGGTAAGCATTAATCCGCTATTTCGGATGGGCCGATCCAATACTCGAGAATATAATCTGTCGATTTGGCATAATCCAGGATGTCTAGTTGTTGAACAAGATGCCCTGCCTTCACTCTCCCAAAACGCACAGCTCAAAGAAATAAAACTGAATATTGCATTGATTGAAAATCATATTACAGAGAAATGGGCCTACTGGACTCTTATTTATAAGGAGTCCTGACCATGTACACCAAAACGGGCAGGCATATCTACACGAAGCGGTCAGCCCATACAAAACAATACCAAATAAGAAATATATATATATACAACATTTCCAATACTCCCCCTCAAGTTAGGGGCTTAAAAACATCAATAGTTCCTAACTTGCCTAAAAGACTCTTCTTCACATTTCCTCCTACAGCCTTTGTCAGCAAGTCTGCCTCTTGGTCATGACTTCTAACATGACACAAATCAATCAGCTTTGATTCCCACTTCTCCCTGACAAAGTGGCAATCTATCTTTATGTGTTTTGTACGCTCATGAAAAACCGGATTAGCTACAATATGTATCGCAGCTTTGCTGTCACAGTGCACCTTCACTGGACCCTCATGATTTATACCCAAGTCTTTTAACAGACCAATAGCCCAAACTATCTCAGAAGTTGCCATACTCAAGGCTCTGTATTCAGCTTCTGCAGAAGACTTCGAAACAGTATGTTGCTTCTTAGTTTTCCACATCACAAGCGATCCTCCCAACTTCAGCAGATAGCCAGAAACTGATCTTCTTGTCATTGCACAGGAAGCCCAATCTGAATCACAGTAGCACTCTAGCTCCGGTTTCCCTTCTGAGCTGATAAAAATTCCTAGCCTAGGGGTTCCCTTAAGATATCTCAGAACACTCCTAGCAGCGGCCATGTGTGCTTTGGTTGGCTTTTGCATGAACTGGCTCAATGTCTGCACAGAATAAGAAATGTCAGGCTGGGTCATAGTCAAATAAATCAACTTACCAACCAATCGTCTATATTTCTCTGGTTCCTTCAACAGATCTTCCTTGCGGTTTTTCTTCTCATCATAAGCAAGAAGTCTCAAGCTCTGCGCCATAGGTACTCCCAATGGTTTACAACCTGTCATACCAGTCTCAAACAAAAGATCCAGCACATATTTTCTTTGTGACAGAACAATCCCTTTTTCAGATTTAGCTACCTCTATGCCAAGAAAATATTTCATTTGTCCTAGGTCTTTCATTTTAAAATGACTATGCAAGAACCTTTTAGTTTCATCAATACCGATTCTAGTACTTCCAGTTATCAACAGATCATCTACATAAACCAGAATAAGAACAACTCCATGATCAAAATGTTTAAGAAACAAAGAATAATCTGATTTGCTTTGTATAAATCCCCCCATTTGCAATGCTTCAGACAATTTTTGATTCCATTGTCTTGAAGCCTGCTTTAAACCATAGAGAGACTTATTTAGTTTGCAAACCATTTGCTCCCCCTGTCTATCAAAACCTTGAGGTATTTTCATATAAACCTCTTCATCTAAGTCACCTTGTAAAAATGCATTATGCACATCCATTTGGTAAAGACTCCATTTATTCATTGCTGCTAGTTTTAAAACAACTCTAACAGTGAACATTTTCACAACAGGGGAAAAGGTTTCATGGTAATCAATTCCCTCTTTCTGACTGTAACCTTTTGCTACAAGTCTAGCCTTGTACTTATCTATACTACCATCAGCATTATACTTAATTTTATACACCCACTTGCAACCAATAGGTCTTTTATCCTTAGGTAAAGGCACTATTGTCCAAGTTTTGTTACCTTCTAAAGCACTCATTTCAGCCTTCATGGCTTTAATCCAATTAGTATTTTGCACAGCTTCTTCATAGCATGATGGCTCATTATTAGAATCAAGTGAGGTCAGAAAACACATGTGATCAGCAGACACATTAGCATAACATAAATAATCATCAATGGGATATTTACAATTTCCTTTCACAGAATAATTGGAATCAAACTGTAACAAGGAACAAACATAATCATTTGCCCAAATAGGGGGTCTCCTCACACGAGTGGATCTTTAACCAGGAAGATTTGTTCGGTTAACATTGCTATCTATATTACTGTCACTTCCTTCTTCACAATTCATTCTATCCCCAGCTGAACAAGAATTCTCATTAATATTCACTGATTCACATCCCTTGATAGTCCCAGGTGCTTGAGTTATAAAATTATCATAATCAAACCAGAACATTGACTTTATATCACTACTTATTCCTTTTTGAAAATTATCCTTAACATCTTTAAAACGAAACTTATCCTCGATGAAATTAACATGTCTGCTGATAAAAAAAGTACTTTCTTTCAGGTTAAGGAGCAAGAAACCCTTTTGATTATCTGGGTATCCTAAGAAAATGCTAGGGATGGCTCTGGCCTGTAACTTATCATTAGCTTTCAAATCAGTAGCATAAGCAAGGGATCCAAAAGTTCTTAGGTGACTTAAGTCTGGTTTGATCCCATAGACACGCTCATAAGGTGTTTGATAATCGATTACTTTGGAAGGTATCCTATTCACAATATAGGAAGCCATTTTGACACACTCTCCCCAATATTTAATGGGAATCCCAGACTGTAAAATAAGACCTCTAGTGATTTGCATGATGGTTCTATGCTTTCTCTCCACTACCCCATTCTGTTCAGGAGTATAGGGACAGGATGTTTGGTGAACTATGCCCTTTTCTTGAAAATAAGTTCTTAATTGGTTGTTAGTAAATTCAGTCCCGTTATCACTCCTAATTTTTCTCACAGTGGCTGAAAATTGTGTTGAAACATAAGCAATAAAATTTTTAACATGTGATTCAGCTTCATTCTTATGTCTCATTAAAAATA